ACTCGTCCCCCAGCCTGTAGCATTGTACCTCATACAGTGGCCTTGGCCCATGGATCCAGCCTGTCCAGATCCCTCTGCAGACCCGTCCTGCCCTCAGGCAGATCAACACTCCCGCCCAACCTGGTGTCATCTGCAAACTGACTGAGGGTGCACTCGATCCCCACATCCAGGTCATTGATAGATATTAAAGAGGACTGGCCCCAGCACTGAGCCCTGGGGAACACCACTTGTGACTTGTGTTATCCCTTTCCCCCTTCAAATCTAGTTTAAAGCTCTTTCAGTGACCCTGGTAACTCCTGTGCAAAGACCCTTTTGCCCCATTGAGGCAGGTGTACCCCATCTGTTGCCAGCAGGCCTGGTGTCGTGTAAACAGACCCAGAATTCTGCTGGTGGCACCAGGCTTGGAGTCAGGTATTGATCTGCTGACCCTTCCTGTGTCTTCCCTGCAACTGGAAACCTAGAGGAGAAGCAAAAGCTTTCACAAGCTCTCCTGTGTCTTGAATAAAAGTTGAATTTGTGACTTTCCATGAAATTATTTCCAATATTTTTCTGGCAATACCATTTGTATTTAAAGCTCTGACTATGAGTAATTACTGAGGTCTGCTATTTTTATTGTGTTTGGTTTGGATCATTACATTTGTTAAGCTTTGTTCTCACTCTCTGTTTCATTTCTGTTCAATACAGTATTTACCTTATGCCCTGTCCCAAAGCATGCCGTGTGCATTCTGAGTGCCCTGGTGCTTTGTCCCAGCACAGGCTGCCCATCCACGATCAGTGATGCTTTTTGTGGTGTACAAAACACCCATCGCTTTCATGGGGTGGCTCTGAATCACCCTTAAATGTGGGGGTACAAAAAGCGTATCTCGCCTCAACTGCATTGAAATTAGATTAAGAGTCACAGGATTAGCTCTTCTGCATTTTCGTAGAATCATAGAATCATAGAATGGTTTGGGTTGGAAGGGACCTTAAAGATCAACCAGTTCCAACCCCCCTGCCATGGGCAGGGACACCTTCCACTAGAGCAGGTTGCTCCAAGCCTCATCCAGCCTGGCCTTGGACACTTCCAGGGATGGGGCATCCACAGCTTCTCTGGGCAACCTGTCCCAGTGCTTCATCACCCTCTCTGGGAAGAATTTCTTCCTGATATCTAATCTAAACCTCCCTGTTTTCAATTTGTACCCATTACCCCTTGTCCTGTCACTACAGGCCCTTGTAAAAAGTCCTCTCCCAGCACCCTTGTAGGCCCCCTTCAGATACTGGAACGCTTCAGTGCGCTTACTGGGTTTGGGCCTGTGGGGATGTGAGCATCCAAAAAGATTTCTGCCCGTGCGTTGGCTGCAGAGCGAGGCCGGGCACTGCGGTTGGGCAGCACTGGCCGTTACCATCCCAGCGAGCTGCTGGAGGAGCTGCCTCCTCGGGGCTCTGCTCCGCTTCTGCCGTCCCTTCCCTGCACCCAGCTCTGCCCGTCTCCTGCCCAGGGAGGTCACCCCCAGCCTGCCTTCAGCTCTAGCCCCAAATCCCATATTCCTCACGCTGGAACCAGCTGGGGACTGTTTGGCAGCATTTTTACAAGTTTTAAAGCCTCCTGCCCTGTGATGCAGGAGCTGACCTTGTGTCTCCGATTCAGCCTTACCTCCAGGCTCTCTGTATGGTCTCATGTTTCTGAACAGTTTTCTTGTATCAGCTCTTCTTTCAGCTGCTCGCCGTGTTTTCCTCCCCACTTCTTTCACATTCTCTAGCACTCCCTTATTGTAACCTTATTCTCTGTCCTTCAAAGCCTTCGTTCTGTGTCCAGCTTTCTACCCTGATCTCCTTCCTCATCCCAAAGTGTCATGTCCAGCTCCCTGCTTGATGGGCCTCGATGTTCACTGAATGCGATCTGACATCAGCTTGTCTGGGAAATACTGCACTTCAATTCTCAAGAGAAAAAAATATCATCGGGAGGTCAACACTTTGAGTGAGACTCTGCCTGTAGGTAATGGGGGACCTTGAAAATCTCAAGCGAAGCAGGAGTTTGTGCATTTGATGCTTTGCTTGGGAGATCATGGAAAATAAATGTAAAATAGATACATTTTTTGTTCGTAACAAGTATAAATAGTGAAAGTGAAAAAAACCACACTCTTGTTTAATTGCAACACTGAGCTTTCAGGCATGTTTAGAGCTGGAAAATACTCTTCATCGGATGAAGAGATCAGAATTTAACTTGCCAGTTGATTTTTCACCTTCATTAAGAACACAGAGAAGTCAAATTCTCTGTGGTCTCCGCTGCCCTTGACTTAAGCAGGAGTTGCACAGGCTCCGTATCACCTGGTACCCTATGTCTGAGGACACTATGGTAAGGCTTTTCCTGTTACTAAAACCATGTGGACCTTTTCTTTCTAGGCCCTCCATCTGCTCCCCAGAACCTGATTTCCAACGTCAACGAGACATCGGTGAATTTGGAGTGGACCTCTCCCCAGAACAAAGGTGGTCGGGAAGACATCTCCTACAACGTGGTGTGCAAGAGGTGCGGTGCCGGCGAGCCCAGCCGCTGCCGGTCCTGCGGCAGTGGTGTGCACTTCAGCCCCCAGCAGAACGGCCTCACGACCACCAAAGTCTCCATCACTGACCTCCTGGCACACACCAACTACACCTTCGAAGTCTGGGCGGTGAACGGAGTGTCCAGGCAGAATCCCAGCCAGGACCAAGCTGTGTCGGTCACTGTGACAACGAACCAGGCGGGTAAGAACCTAAACATAAATCCTCTTCCTCTCCCTTCTGCCTGTTTTTAAGGAAAGCTGTGATTTGCATTACATTTAACATCAGCAAATGAATGCGAGCAGGACTGAGGTGCTGAACTGGGTCAAACCCTTATTTTCTGGTTATTTATATGGATAGTTTAGATGCTTTAGAGCTAGAAAAACGGGAGGGTTTGTGGAGTGTGGCTGGGAGCAGAGCTGCACTGCAGCACGCTGGCAGGACACTGGGAGGCATTCTGCAGCGGCAGAACGGCACAGCTGGCTGGGGTGATGCGAGGGGACAGAGCTGGGGGGACAGAGCTGGGGCACCCTGCACATGGAGAGGAGTACGTCCTCTCCTCGGCGTTTTGAGAGGGCAGAATTCCCCCGCGGAGAGCACAGCAGTGTGCTGCTGCCTCCTTCCACAAAGGGCTGCGGGAGATTGAGAGAGAGGAATGAGTTGTTGCTCCCTCCCCTGCCTGCTTTCTCTCCCCTCCCTGCAAAGTCAATTAGATTCTGTCCCATTGATAAATAAATACCTCCTTAACCTGCTGCTAACAGCGTTTCAATTGATCAGAGCTGGCATTACTTCAGAAATCCTATATGAGCTTTCATCTTCATGCTGGCTGATTTTTGCGTTTCACTCGTGGGAGAGAGAGTGAAATACCATTTCTGTTTATACCTGATTATTTCGGATACCCTAGGCAGTTCTACTTTTTCCAGTCCCCTGTGCTTGACCTAGTAAAGGCTGTGCAGCAGATTGCCGTTTAGTTTTGATGATCATTGCTACGATTTTTTTCTTTAATTACATGAACACATGTCTTGTTTGCAGCTAGCTAGGCTTTCAGGCACAGGGCTCCGGGTGAGTTTTTAATTTAACGCACAGAATACATACATTTGAATATGCTACTCTTCTCTATGCAAATTAGATACCCAGACTGTCAGACTGGCTATGAGACCGTCAAACCTGTTATCTAATCGCTCGCAGCACTGATCGCCTGGAATCCCACAGATGTTGCGGGCGTTCAGCACCTCCGAGCGTAGCTTCCAGGGTCATTGTTTGTCGTTAGGCTTAGGGCGGATGGGACGATATTTATGTCGTATATTTTGGTAGTACTGGACTATATAAATATTATGAATTCTGCTTCCTAGTAGATGGGTGTGAAAAATAGGTATGAATCGTCTGAATCTGCGAGTTTTAGCTGTGGTCCAGAACACTTCGGTACGAACAGTCAGAGATGCATTGACAGTCAGTTTTGCAGTGACAGTTACAAGCACAATTGTCAAGTCCACACTGAAGCTCCTTTGAAAATCTGGTCCGGTGTTTTTTTGTTCTTCACACATAAAGTTGACAGCATCCCTTTTAAATTATGATTCAAAAATTCAAACTATCACTTTGCCTAGTGAAAAGAAGCCTAATGGAGAACAGGGGCTATTAGAGAGTCTTGGGAGAAAGCTGCGGGAGAATGCTGTCATACGCTATACGAAGAGAGAAGGTTGAGAACAGCAGCAGGGACAGTGTTTCTGTGCTATGAATGCATAGCAAAGAGAGTATTTCTGACTGATTTTGGCATGTGTAAGGATTAGTGGATGCATATATGCATGAATAAGTGAGTGGGATCCATCTACCGTGTGAAAATTCTACCATCTTAAGCTTTAATATGCAAACCGAAATCTGATTGAATATGCAAATAAGAATTGATTTTGTTTATTATCCATGAGTAGCAGTTCTTCACATCAGGAAATTTGTATTTTTGCCAACATTTCCAATTATGAAACATGCCCAGTCTATCAAATGCTTCAGAGGGCCGGAGAAAACCGTACTGGTACAAATCAAAATTAACTCCAAGGTGCCGGTATTGTTCTTCATATGACTTTGTGTATCTGCGGCAGAGAATATCTAAATAGAAATGTGTGGCCTAAACCTACAGATCTCAGCTGAGATAAATAGTCCCTTACATATGCAAATAATCCCATTGATTTCAGTGAAACTGCTTGCTTGAGTAAAGGTCTGTAAAGTTGGACCCTTGGGTTTTACAAGTGCTGATCTATTTAATCATTGTAAATGTGTGTCTGGGGTGCATTAAAATTATTGTGCCACTCATTTTCTTCCACTATATTTCATTATAAAGGAATCATGTCATGACAGAGCACTGCCACAGGCTTGGTTTTGATCTTGCACCTTTCTTACACCACTGTAAAGCTACCTTGGGTTCTTTGCAGCAATCTCTGAATTCCCTGTTTTGCTAATAAAAATGAAACTACCAGCACAGGTTTTGTGAACGACTTCATTGGGTTTGCTATTAATCCTCATGCTTTCCAACATTTGATAGAAGAAAAGAAGTGTTGTTAGTGTGGTTCCGTAGATCTTTACATATAAGCCGTGCTTTTGGTTTGTGTTCTGGGAAATTTGCTGGAATTGTTTGCAGGAGGTGTATCCTTGAGTTAAATCCAGTAGGGATGATAAGTATGCACGGGGCTAGGAAATCCTTCCTCTTAACAGCAGTCTCAAATGGACTTTCCAAATATGCAACCATATAATCCAAAGACAATAAACAGATTTCACAACGCAGATTTTGGTGTCGGAATCGGAAAACCGCATATTTATGTGTTTGCTCGCATTGGTGCCAGCCCCTGTGGATGCATTTGGAGACGGTCAGGGAGCCATGAGAAATCAGTTACTGGTATATTCAGCACAAAATTGAAGAAACGTGTTGCAATGACATAAAAAGTGCAGTTGAAAGACACAGGTGTTTTTTTGTTTGCCTTTGCCATTTCACTCCCGGAGATAATGAAATGAGGCAGTTTACTTTCCCCCTTTGTTTAGAAACTCTTTTCAGTTTCCAATACTGTAGAAAAATGTTTAAATGAAAATAAACTTCTGCCATTCAAAGTAGGATTAAAAAGCATTTGAAAAAGTATTTTTCCTGCTTCCTTTGAAAAGGTCCTGGGTTTTATAGTAGTGGGTTTGTTTTTTTTTTTTAAGAGAGAAGCTAAATTTTGGGTTTTGAAGTAAAAATTTCTGTCTCCTAATGAAATACTTTAGTGTTTTGACATTTCAAGAATCTTGAATGGTGAATTCAGCCCTATATTCTACATGTTTAGTATAATAATTTTTTCGAGGTTTTTCGAGAAGGGAGTCACCACTCTTTTCCCATATAAGAAATTAAAAAAGGAAAGGATGGGACACCGAGCTGTTGAAACTTGCAGCCAGCGCCCTTACCACGGTGAGCACTGGGGAATGCTGGTATTAAGGATCTCCACCAGCAGTTCTGACTTTCGTGCCTTTCTGGCTTTGATCAAATGAAATCAGCACTTTGTCCATCTTTTTAAAACGTGAAATGACTTGTGGAAGAGGTGCAACCCAGCAATTCTCAGGCGATGCTGCTCGAAGAAGCTAATTTCAATGAGAAACCCTACCAGGCAGTTGACTGAGTAGCTCAAAAATCTCCAGGCTCTCTTTTTTTCCCGCTAAGGATAATGCTGTGAAGCTGTTCAAAATTAAAAGTAAATCTCTCAATAAGGAGACCCGGCTCGCAGCAAGCAGAAAGCCTTTGTTTTTTTGAAGAGGTGCTGAACAGTTTATATTTTTATTAGCGGTGACAGCCGAGCTGTTTGGTCCCCGCCGTGACAGCCGGGTTCCCCCGTGTTGGTCTGTGCGCGCGTCCGAGGGGCAGCACCGCGAGGACAGGGTTTCGCATGGATGCCAAAGGCGTTCCGACGGCGGGGAGACACTACACAAGCTCTGGATGAGGTTTAAAATCCAAACTCACCGTGGTGCTTGTTTTCCTCCCTTCTTTGTGTTGGCGTTTTCTGAGGGATGGGTGTCCTTGCTGCTCTGCTTGTGGGAGCTGGAACGGGTGGGACTGCGGAATGAACGGGGCGCCTGGGGATTTGTTCCCTTGGTAGGGTACCTTGGGCTCGCCGTGTCCTTAGTGGACCACCATAGCTAGGTGGAGGCAGGAGGTGCCAATTAGGATGAAAATACTGTATAAATAAACCAACTTACTTTCTCTCTTCCCCGCCCCGCATCAGACTGGATGTTTTCAAGCTGTCTGTGCTCAAGACCAAGAACTGATCTTTCTCCTAAATCTCTCAGGCCCTGTGTCCCTTTTTTCCCTGTCTGCCCTCACTGCTGTCCCCGCTCCTTTGTCTCTGTGATGCCCCACACCTTGCCTGCCTAGCTGTCTGCTCGCCTGTCGCAAAGCGTCCTCGTCGCGGCGGCAGAGCGGTGTGGCTGGCTGCGCTGCGGTCCAATGCTCCCCCGCTCCCTCACCGTCACTCAGAGCCCTGCAGTTGTTCCATCTCCGTTCCCAGGAGGGAACTAAAATGGGTCACGGTGCCACCAGGACGTGAAGACCCACGTGAGCTGAGTGTTCTTCTGGGACAGGCTGCGTTGTGTGACCAAGCTGTGACGAACCCCAAACGTTGACATTCAGTGCTGGGAAGGAAAATGTCAACTGTTACTCAGTTTTCTTTAGCCTTTAGGTTTGTTTGTTGTTTATGTTCTGAATTCCATTACTAAAAACACCCAACCAAACCTGCAAGATCCTGATGCTTTGAGGATGATAGCGTTTTAAGTTAGAAATGGGAGGGGGGATGAAGTGGGAGTTATTTGCTTCCAGATGACCCACAAGTTCTACTGGACTTTTTAGTAGGGGAATATATATTCCCATTTTGATTTTGGTGGGTCTTCTTTGAAAGCCCACGTTTCCTTTCAAACGCTGATTAGCATTCCTCACGTGTGGTGCGGAACAGCACGGATAATGCTTATAAGCCCCTCGGTTCTGCCAGCGTGGTTTAGCCTGTGCAGAGCCGCGTTAGCAGGCGTTGAGAACGCATGGGCACACGTTGCCCTTGGGTCGGTGTGCACTCCTCACAGCCACCAAGTCACGGCTGCTGGGGCAGGTCAAAAGCAGCACATGCCAAGGGCAGGAAGGCTAAGGGTTTCAGTGTTTTCTTTCTAATGCGCTACTTCCCTGGGTATTTATAGTTTATCTATAA